TTAAAATAAATCATTTAAAAAAAATAAAATATACTGAACTCTCAGGTGTTCCAGATTAGAAAATATGTCTTCTTCAGAAGAAGTAGATGCCCAATCTTGAAATCATTAAAATTTAAAGTCTCTGTAAACAAATATAAAGTCTATAAAGTGTTAATAACTGAGGAAACGAAATGTAAAGTAAATGTCTTTTTTGTCTTCACAATTTTTCTGTAAATCTGAAATTTCCTTAAAATATATATACATATATATACACACACATACATACATACATGCATACATACATATATATATAGTGTGTGTATATGTATATATATAGTGTGTGTGTATATGTGTTTATATATGTATATATTTATATATATATGTGTGTGTTTTTAAACAGATCTAAAATATACTATGCACTGATGTGGACCATTGACAAAAGAAAAAGAATTATTGTCAAAAATATTAATTACTGGGATTACACAACCAGGATGGTTGCTGATCTACAGTCAGCTGTATTGTGAATATCAGCTGAATATCTGTCCTGGTAGCAAAATGATGCCGAGCAAGGGTTCCCATTTGTACCAACACTGGGCTCAGAGAGATATGTGTGTGTGCATGTGTCTGCTTATTTTTATATATTTGAATATCCATGGTTTAGAATTATACAAAAGAAACTGATAAACAGCTGTTGCCTCTTCTGGGGAAGTTCACCATGTACTCTATTCTAGTTTTGAAAGTATAAGGGAACAATTAATAACTATCCCAGAGCAAGAGGCATAAATGTATTCTCTACTGGTAAGTCAATATACAATCACCCCTGAGCTGGGGAACTAGTGCTAGAAGTTTCAGGGCTTGCGGCAGTTTCCCTAATTCCTTCATTTAATGATATGTTGCTCCTACCCTTTCGTTTGTTTGTGTTTTAAAAAACAGCCCTTGAAAGCAGAATAGATATTCAATCTGTAATGAAATCAAGAGGAAGAATGTCAATAATTTTTGTATCATTTTTACTTTTTATCATTATCGTTAAAAAAGAAATCTAGTTATTAAGGTAAAGGCAGAAGCTGGGTGTGGAGAATTTCAACTAATAACCATCTTTATGAAGACACTAAATAAGCATAGTTGCCTCTGAAAGGAAGCTGTCTGTGGAGCTCAGGCTATTGATTTGCGAGACATGTTTGTAAAACTCAGATGCTGCTGCGATTTCTTCAAAGTGTCTTTGTTTCTTACAAAGCGTCTTGCTTCCTCTTTCCTTGTCTTTGAATATCCAGTGAAAGTTGCAGTATCTGAGTAAACCAACTTTGAGCACAGTTAACTCTTGATTGTATTGTATGGTATGTGTGTTCCAGCCACCTTGATATAAAACTAAGACAAAGCATTAACTGCTGTAACCTCAGAGTTCCATCACCTGCAGAAAAGATACTAATGAACTAGGGAATTAGAAGAGACAGTGATGGCAGGTAATCATTGGATATTTATCATGTGCAATTCTTATCTAAGAACTTTGCATAACACTGGACCAATTAATCCTTAATTAAAAAATAAACCTTGTGAGAAATAAGTATTATTACTGTTCTCATTTTAGAAATGAAGAAAAGTGAACATCAGAGGGGTTAAGAAATTGCTAGATTGAGGATCAAAAAAAAAAAAAGCAATGCAATAAAGTAAAAACGAAAATCCACTAGCACTATAAACAAGAGACATTCTACCGGGATGGAGGGGAATAGGATCAAAACTGGGGTGGGAAGAAAACGCACGGACTATGGTGACGGCTTTTGGGTGAAGTGGTAGTGGGAAGCCCACGGGGATTACAACCAAGATGAAAAAAATGCACAAAATGAAGAATATTGTAAAATATATATTATAATTTTTTAAAGTAAAAAAAACAAGAAAGAAACAGCTAGATTGCATAGCTCATAAGTGGCAAAGTCAAGGCCAAGCTGTCTGCAGTCCCATGCTTTCTCTGCAGTTCCACCTCCCAGTCAACACTTCTCTATTTTCTAAAGTAAAACCACAGCATGGACTTTGACGATGGGTTAGTGCTGTCATGGGTTTTCCCCCTTAAAGTCCAATATGTAAAGCTGGGGTCATGAAATAGGATGTCTCTTAAATCATTTAGGTTCTGTTCCCTCTCCGAGGCAGAAAGATGAACCAGCTGATGTCTAAGACTTCAGGGATTTTATAAAAACAGAAATGCCTCCCTCCCCCACTTGTTACAGGAATTTTTTAGTTATCTTACAAATGCAGCATGTTGACTCTTCCTAATAGCTCAGTGCACAGGATTATTATTTCCTTGATAGAGTTTTTGCACACTAAGGCCAAGAAGACATGTGCACGTTCATAGCCTAACTCAGATCTCTGTAGACCCAAGCCCAGAGTCTTGTTCCCGACTCCAAGCCTGGAGTCTTGTTGCTGAATCTGTGTTCTAACCTATCAGGTAGGCAGTGTCTTGTTACAAATCAGGAAACATTATATATTTAAAATATAAATTGTAAAAATATAAGTCTCAAATACAAGAATTTTCCATGGAGATACACTTCCATGTGGGAAGCAAATTTTTGTCTTGGCTATTTCTTCCTGCCTCTTGTGTTAAGGTTTGAATCCTCTGCAGTTGTGCTCTTCATGGAGGCCTGACAGAGGACACCTCTTTTCTTTTCTTTCCCCAACATCAAGCTCTCTCTACTAATTTTCCCATCAGATGCTGCTGGGGATTGCTTAAGGGTTCAGGAAATCACGGGGATAAAAATATGGTCACAGGAGGCAAAAACATAAATTTTCCACAACTCAGATATTAGGTAATAAAATAAGGAGCAAAAATCAAACTAGAAAATGCATCTCCTATCTGCTTTTCTCCTTCTGCCTAAATTCTTTACTACCACCCTACAAATAATACATGCTCTATAGCTTGGTAAGGAATAAACTTTGGATAAGGACACTATTCCTTTTTAAAACCACTCTTTAGAGTATTCAGCTCAGTGCTAAATGTCCCCACAAATGTAAATTAAAACCCTGAGGGGGCTGGGCTGGGTCCAGGACTTGTGAGGATACGGAGAGGACTGAGGCTTACCAGCCCTAGACAGACGTGAGCCTGATTCCCAGGACTCGGAGTCCCGGCTCACTGGCCTTGAACATGCTATTTCCATTTCTAGTAATAACAGTGTTCATACATTGAACCCATGTGTGGGTCAGGTGCATGTTTTACAAATTCCATTCTAACATGCTTGACAATTCTGGCACCTAAGTCTTACTATCCCATTTTACAGATTATACTACTGAGGTCTCTAATTAGTAAACTAGGTTTTGAACCAAGTTCTTCCTATGCACTTTCTATGATGTTCTCCTGCAGTTTCAATCTCTCTTTCCTGTCCTGTGAATTGCAGTTAGATAATTCCATTCTCTAAAAATGAGACAGGGCGGCAGAGAAAACGTGTGGTTCACAATGAAGCACATGTAGTACGCAAGAAATGGCTGTTCCTGTTATTATAAAGAAAGTAACAGAGGGCGTGTGGAAGTGCCTGAAGTGCTACATGAGGTAAGAGGGAGAAGCAAATCTTCCTGGCTGGACAGTGGTTTTGTGGTCTTGAAGCAGATCTTGAAAAATGGAGTGTGTATGGATATGTGACAATACTAGATGGGAGTGAGAAGTAAGAAAACATTTTAGGTGAATTTTAAAGTACAAAAATGAAATTTGTCACGGCCTCATATTTCTTCAGTGGTTTTTTCCAAAGCTTCAGATATTTAAAGCGTCATGTATTACAAAAGGAACTAGAAAATTTAAATTCCTTACTTTTGAGAGAAAGAGTAATCACACCATGAATTCTCTAACATTTTTTTTAAGATTGATTTATCTGTGCATACAGAATCTGGGTACAGGCCAGAGGTACAGGGGGTGAGAGGATTCACCAAAGACAGAGTGGGGAGCAGAACAGGCCAACTAAGTACACTGCTGAGGGGAGCAGTGGGCGATACAGGAGAGGTCTGCTGCGCCATGTGGGTTACCTCCCTGGCCAAGGATCGAACTCATGCTGAAGAGGTTTCCGCTAGCTTCATAGTTCTGTGCTTTAACCCACTGTACCACTAGGGCGGGCCCAAATTTTCCAACATTAAATTGGATTGTAGTCACAGAGAAGAGGGTCTGCCTGCCACCCTAACATTCTTATTCTATATAGATAACTGTGTAGCAGGACTCGAGATAAAATGATAAATGTCACTATAGAAGAGACAAGATGAACAAGACCAGAAGACTGAACTTCAGGTTTCTCAGACATCCTTGCTGCTTCCTGGTCGCATGTCTTGGGTGTCCCAGACAGTGTCCCCTGCAGTCAGTTTTGAAAGTGAGCATACTTAGCCTGCTAGCCCACTTCCAGTTGAATCACCAACACTAGATATTTATAAAGAAGTAGGAAAAAACTCATTTTATTACTTGGACATAAAATGAGCTTTTCTGCTACAGGTTCCATAAAAACCTAAAGCATGTAGACCTTAAATGTGGATAAGAACAAAAGCGTTCTCATAAACCACCAAGTTGCTAAACTTGGCCATGCTGTAGAAAGCTTGCAACCTAAATTTACAGAAAACTTACTTTCATTTTTTTAAATGCAGTTCCTGCATAAGAACCTCGACTATAAGATATGGAAAAAGTCCTTTGTGAGTCACTTAAATATGTTTCAGGTAAAGTAAAATAGGTGAACACCAATTTCAGAATAAATCCAAGGAGACAGACAGGCAGGCAAGAGGGGAGTGGTTAGTTACAGCAAGACAAAGACAATGAAAAAAAAAAAAAAAAACACCGAAGGAGTGTACCACAAGAAAGCTTCCCCCTTAAAGAAACTCTCACAACTTATTTTGCCATAAAGGAAGATAAATGTTACAATATCTCACTAACCAATCAGCATCGCCACAAGCCTCAAACCAGGAAGCCCTTTAATGTGTAGTATTTTAAACTGTGCAGTAACTTCTGACTCTCAGCGAGTTTTTGTTCCCTATGCTTGTAGGATGAAAAAGCAGATGTGAAGTCACTCATGGCGAAGTTTAACACAGGGGCCAACCCGACAGAAGAGGCCTCCTTCAACAACCGGCCCCTCAAAGTCGCAGGGCAAAACTCACCTTCAGGAGTACAAGCTAAAAAGAACTTATTCAACAACCAAGGAAATGCCAGCCCTCCCACAGGACCTAACAACGTATCTAGGTTTGGGTCCCCAAAACCACCATTGGGGGTGAAACCATCTTTTGATGAAAAACCTGACAAGGAGCCCAAGCCGCCATTTCTAAAGCCAAGTGGAGTGGGCCAAAGATTTGGGGCTCCAGCTAACTCAGCCACCAGAGACTCTGAGGTAAAAGCAGGATTTCTGAAGCCTGCAGGCCCCAAACCCATCAACTTGCCCAAAGAAGATCCCAAACCTGTATTTCCCCGGCCTCCTGGGAATAAGCCTTCACTGCAAAATATAAACCAAGAGCATGACTTAAAGCCACCAGGCCTGAAGCCCAAGTCGAACCCTGCAACCCAGGAAAATGAACAGAATCAAGTGTTTCCGAAGTTGGCTGGGGTTAAAAACAAGTTTATGGCTGCCACACAAGAACATGAGGCCAAGACCCTCTTCCCCAAATCTGCCTTTGGTCAGAAGCCATCCCAGAGTATAGATGAGGAGGAGGAGAGCCCATCTAAGAATGTGTCTGTACAGAAAGGACCCCCGGGTTCCCTGGGATCCAAGTTCAGAGCAGGTCCTCTAAAACCAGCAAGAGAAGACTCTGACAATAAAGACCATGGAGGTGAGACCTCAAGCTCGCCTTTTCCTGGAGTAGTTCTGAAATCAACTACAAACAGAGGAGGCCCAGGCCTCTCCAAAAATGTTGAAGAGAAGAAAGAAGACAGGAAGATAGATGCTGCTAAGAATGTCTTTCTGAGCAAAATGAATCAGGAGGAGTTGCCCTCAGGAGCTCCCCCTGCCAAGTTCCCTAAGACCCCTTCTAAGCTGACACTAGGAGGGCCTTGGAGCCAAAGCCAAGAAAGGGAAAAGGGGGACAAGAGCCCCGCAACCCCTAAACAGAAGTCATTGCCCCCCCTGTTCACCTTGGGCCCACCGCCGCCAAAACCCAACAGACCACCAAATGTCGACCTTTCGAAATTCCGAAAAGCTGCTGCTGGAAATGGTGAGTTATTTTCTTCTTTGCTATTTGCCATGCTTTGTTCCACAGCAAAGAGTGTATTAGCTATGGGGGAGAAATTGGAACAAGGAAGGCTCCTGTCCGTGGCACATTTGTTGACTTTTCTTTGGTATCTTTTTTCCCTTGATGTGGGAGGTCTGAAAAGGTAGAAGACCTCAATCCTATATAGTCATTCTGGGAGAAAATTACTTCATGGGCTGGTTTTGGGAGTTGGAGGAGATATTTGGTCAATATGTCTTTTTGCTTAATGATAAGCATTTCATAATGTCCTTAGTTAGGTTTCTTTTCTTTAGAATAAGGCCTACTGTTACGGTTACTACCACAAAGAAAGAAAGATGGGCAAACCTCTAGGTCAGTGCTTCTCAAACTAGGGCAATTTTGATGCCCATAGGACTATGGCAATGTCTGAAGACACTTTTGGTTATCACCACTGAAGTGTGACCGTTGGTAAAAAGAAGCAGTGAGGCTGCTGAAGACCCTACAATGCACAGCCTTGCTCGGTCCAAAATGTCAACATGACATAAGTTGAAAACCCTCCTCAGTGGGATTTTAAATATTCACAAATCTGTTTCCAAAGCTCAATATTCATATGAGATGAACAGAACTCTTGGCACTGTTTTATATTTTAGCTATTTTCCATTTCTTAGTGAAAATTTCTTGAACTTTCTGATTCATGAAGTGGTTCTTACTCGGGAAATAAACCAGACAAAGGATACATTATTTTTCTGGGTAAATGGTTTAGTTTAGTTTTTATTCTTGTTAACCAGAAATGTTATCACAATACTATGGCACATGCAGTAATTTGATATTCAATGATTTGGTAAAGATTATAACAGTGCATAGTGAACAGAGAAGCTCACTAATGCTTGAAATGATTAGTATTTTAGGCAAAAATGTTTAATGTGTATTATAAGGAGGGAAAGCATACTGATAATAAACACTTCATTATTAGATCTATTTTTCTAAAAATAATGGTGTATATGGTCTAGTTAAAGGCATCCTAGGTATAAATATTGGTGCTCTTTTTTTAGCTCTATAGGAGCATCTTGCTATATGTCATCTTCCTGAGAACAGGATTTCTTGGAATTAATAAACAGACCAGGTAATCAAATCTCTTATTAATCTACTATATAGGGAACGATTTTGGAATGAGTCTACCCTCATTCATCTTCCAAAAAGAGGCAGTCTTGCTACACCTTGTCATTCCTTACTGTCATCTGCCCCTTTTAATACTGGTCTGTAATTCAGAACTGTTATTTTTAAAAGGATCTCAAAGATCTTTTTTTATTTCATTTTTATATCTCTTTCGTACTTTTAAAAGGGAACTTTTTAAAAAGTAGGGAAAAAGTCAAATAGTGAGTACATCTGAGTCCAAAACAGCAATTATAAAATTATATACAGTGAAAAGCCACCTTTAGTCCTTGTGCACCATTTATGGGGTCTTCCCAGGCTTTTTTCCATAGTAATCATTCTTGTGAATTTCCAGGTTTGTCTAAAGTTTTGTTCTGCTTGCACAAGTAAATATAACAGCTACTAATCAACCTTGCTTTATTCAAGAAGTAGAATACTATGTGCAATATTCTAGTTGTTGCTTAAAAGGAAAGCAATAATTCCATATATCTTCCCATAGTTCAACAAGAGATAATTGTTTTTTAGAACTATGTGATATTCCAATAAATGGAGGACACACTTAATTGATTTAACAATTTTTATTGTATCCAAACTTTTGCTACTAGCAGTCATGCAACAAAAAAAAAATAATCTTGTAAATGCAATAAGAAGTATTTGCTATTTGAACACACAAAAAAAATTCTTAATTGTCAGGTCTGCTCTCTCCTGACCTTATCACTGCTATTTTTCCCAAATCATGCTAGAAATACTGTTAGTTAACATTCAATTTAAGAAGGTTAAAACTATACCAGAATTGCAAAGTATATAGTGTTCAAATTAATGTTTCAGTTAAAACTCTATAGTTTCCCAAAACTCTAAAACAATTTTCTTAGCCTTGTATCTGATTCTTACCTGATTTCTCAAGCTCTCTATCTTTAGCCTGTTTGTCTAATAGATTAGCCATAAAAATATTTATCATGTGTCAAGGATTAGTTCTATAGCAGAAACACTCCACCCTGCTATTCCTCCCAAGAATTTAATGAAATAGAAAATCTATGCAGAAACTCAAGCCCAGAGGGATTAGGCTGCTTGCCAGAAGTCACAATACAATCAAGCAGGGGGAAGCTGATGCTCACTTCTCAGGGATTCCAGAGTCTCTGTCCCTTCTCCTGCCTTCCCTGTTGGGTTACCTCCCTTAAACTTCAAGTGATCGTGAGATAAACCAGGCATAATTTCAACCCCCAAATCTCCATCCTCTCCTTTTCTCTGTCCTTTGGTTGAAACATGTCATCATCATTCTTATTATAAATGATATAGTAATATATTTATATAATAATATATCAAAATGAGACCAGCCTGCTTACCATTACTTATTTTGTGTACAAGGATAATGTAATTCTTGTTACTTGCTCGGATTTGTCCTCTCATCAAAATCTATTTACTCTAAATTTAGTAAACTTAGCAAACTGCTTTAGCTCAGAAGATAACCCCTGTCAATAGACTTGGCGTTCATCTAAATGGAGCTTGTATGCAAAATTAATGTATAACAAGGTCTAAGCTGTAGACTTACTCAGTTTACCTACTTGTCAACCATGAATTTCAGTAAAACACATTGCTTTTCTGAATGTGGCTTAAAAGCTAATAACTTTTAGGGTCTTCCTGGTAGCACAAGGTTTTATCTCTGCGCTCTGTGGCTCTCTCTAGCGCGCGTTTTTTCTCTGTGTGGGTCTCTGTGTGGGTCTCTCTCTGCGAGGCTCTCTTTTGGCAGCGGAGTCTCTTGTTTCACCCTCTGCTCCCCTCGGCAGTGTATCTCAGTCAATCTGTCTATGCTCTCCACTCTGTC